TGATTTAGTTTATGTCTTTTGCAGTTTAGCTGACTGGTTTGAGGAGGTTTGTTTTGGAGAAGAAGAAGCTTTGTGGATGGAGATATCATCTATGATGGGGTTTTCTGAGGTGGTAAGAGGATTTGATTGATTGAATGGTACTTTGGAACTTGTTTGTGTGTAGTTATGTAATATCAACTTAAGCTTTTGGGTCTGCTGGATAGGAGTTTCTATGTTTGAATCTAGTTGTTTTGCTTTGAATTAATATGAATGATCACTCGTTGGCTCTTGTATTAATCTCTGAGTCAACGAGTGAAGGACGGACAAGAATTGTGAGATTCTACATCGGTTGGGGAGGAGAACAACACATTCTTTATAAGGGTGTGAAAACCTCCCCTAAAAACTGTGTGGAAGTCTGAAAGGGAAACCCCAAAGAAGACAATATCTGCAAGTGGTGGGATTGGGCAGTTACAAATGGTATCAGAGTCAGGCATCGGGAGATTTTCCAGTGAGGAGGCCGAGCTCCAATGAGAGGTGAACACGAGGCGAAGTGCCAGCGAGGACGCTAGGCCTTGAAAGGGGGTGGATTGTGAGATCCTATATCGGTTGGAGAGGAGAACGAAGTATTCTCTGTAAGGTTGTGGAAATCTCTCCTCAGGCTCCAAAGGGGGTGGATTGTGAGATCTCACATCGGTTGGGGAGGAGAACGAAGCATTCTTTATAAGGGTGTGGAAATCTCTCCTTAGCATAATGAAGCATTCTTTAGAAGGGTGTGGAAACCTCTCCCTAGGCCCCAAAGGGGGTGGATTGTGAGATCCCACATCGGTTGGGGAGGAGAATGAAACATTCTTTATAAGGGTGTGGAAACCTCTCCCTAGCAGATGCGTTTTAAAAATCTTGAGAGGAAGCCTGAGAGGGAAAGCTCGGGTAAGCCCAAAAAGGACAATATCTGCTAGTGGTGGGCTTGGACCATTACAAGAATATACGAAGTTTAAGTTAAGTTTTTCAGTTTAGTGATAGGATCACGATAGGTTTTGACATGTTTGGATTATGAAAAGGAAATGAGCCATTGATGAAGTTGTTCTTTCTTTTGTAGGGAATGGAGGATAGTGGCTTTGTCAATCAGTGGCACAAGAGCTCTATAGATGAGATTAGCACACTCCCATTAGCAGCAGCTTTTGGGGAGAATTTGCAGCATTCTTATGCTCATACAAACCTTGACCAGAAGGCTTCTTCAAACCATTCTCAAAATGCCATATTTGGGTATGCGAAACATCTCAGTTCATTCCAAACAGCTAATCATTCGCCAAACTCACACGTCGTTGAATATCCGACCACATCTGTTTCGGCTTCGAACTACACGAATCAAATGGACTTCACAAGGCCAAAAGAGGAGGTTGTGTGTCCTCAGAGTATCAGCAACATCCCTTCTGATATGTTGAGTTTTCAGGGCTCATTATGTCACCAAAGCCATTTAACCAAGTCAGACCGTGGAGCGAAAAGAACTGCTATCAAAAGTAGACTCCCCCTGGCTCAAGATCACATTCTTGCAGAGCGGAAACGGCGAGAGAAGCTCAGCCAGCGGTTTATCGCCTTGTCTGCTATCGTTCCTGGTCTTAAGAAGGTATGGATCTTTAACTTTTTGGCTGATAAATGAAGAGAAACTGTTTAACTCTGTTATTTCCCTGGCTGCTGATAGATGGACAAGGCTTCTGTTCTTGGAGATGCCATCAAGTACCTGAAACAACTGCAGGAGAAAGTGAAGATACTAGAGGAACAAACTCGAAGGAAAGACATTGAATCCGTGGTATTTGTCAAGAAATCCCGAGTTTTCGGTGATGGAAACAACACATCGAAAATGGAGGATGAGCCACTTCCCGAGATCGAAGCCAGATCATGCGACAAGAACATCCTTATAAGAATACACTGTGTGAAAAACAAAGATGTCATAGAGAAGACCATTGCTGAAATTGAAAAGTTGCACCTAACTATAGTCAACAGCAGTGTTATGTCATTTGGGAGTCTTGCTCTCGACATAACTATTATCGCTCAGGTAATAATTATGTGTTCGCATAACCGATTGTAATGGTCCAAACCCACCGCTAGCAGATATTGTCGTCTTTGGGATTCCCCTCAAGGTTTTTAAGAACGTGTATGCTAGGGAGAGGTTTCCACACCCTTATAAAAAAATGTTTCATTCTCCTCCCCAATCGACGTGGGATCTCACAATCCACCCCCTTTGGGGCCCAGCGTCTTTGCTGACACTCGTTCCCTTCTCCAATGGATGTGGGACTCCTTGATTCACCCCCCTTCGGGGCTCAACCTCCTCGCTGGCACATCGCCCCGTGTCTGGCTCTAATATCATCGGTAACAATCCAAGCCTACGGCTAGCAGATCTTGTTCTCTTTTAGGTTTTTCCTTCCAGGCTTCCTCTTAAGGATTTTAAAACGCGTCTGTTAGGGAGAGGTTTTCACACTCTTATAAAGAATATTTTGTTCTCCTCCTCAACCGATGTGGGATCTCACACCGACTGTGTACTTAGATATCTCGATTTCCAAATATCTGAATTCACTGACTCCTTGAGACAACCATTCAAGTTCTTGCCCTGCAATCAGTTCCACAGTTTAAATGTCTTTGTCCATACAAATGTGAGCAGTTCTTGAAACATGTTCATCTTTTTGCAGATGGATAACGAATTCCGTTTGTCGCTAAAGGATCTCGTGAAGAACTTGCAGTCGACTCTCCGGTCATTTCAATGAGAAGATAGAAGAATGTTATCAGATCTTCCTTAGCCTTCAAACAAAATAAGAACAATCTCAGTTCCAAGTCTAAGCCCTTATGTTTACAGGTCCGTGATGTTCCAACAGATTTAGACCAATACCCTTAAAGCAAACCAGTTGTGAGATTCATATTGCAGGTGGGGGGTTTTTTTCTGTCATTTTTGTGTCTTGTTTGGAGGTTTTTTAGCCATTGAGGGTTCCCAGAAAGCAGCCAACTCTGTGGTTTCTTCTCCTTACATTACATGGAACTGATATGAGAAAGGGAACTTGGTTTTTTGAAGTTTGTAGAACAGAATAGGCCTTTGTGTGTTGTGCTTTTTTTACAGTTTATTGCTGTTTGTTTGCTGTTTTTTGAGGCTTCCATGACATTGTTTCAGCCTCTTTACAGTCACTTTGGTTTGTAATTTCTTGATTGGAAGTGATGAAATAGTAAAAAAGAATACTCTTTTATGTTACCCGACTAGATGTCAAAGTCGTACTTTTTCAACCATACGGCGTTATAATTTTGACATGCTTACGGCTATTCACATTTTTAACCTAACTTTGTGGCTTTGTTGGACCATTACTTGTGCGGAATCAAAGCTTGTTTGACCACACACGTTATTCATGCGTCCATGTTCAATTGTTGCAGCACAACGTCGCATCTCATTGTCATCTTGGTTTCGAACAACATAATACATATATCGTGATGTCATCCCATGTCTCGGGACACATTAGTCATCTTGGTTTGCTCAAACACATCTGTTGGGAACGGACCCATGTGTCGATCATCTCATTGGAACATCCGAAACATCCGTCCACTCGGGTTCTCTCTCTAACATTGGGCTCTCATGTGTCCATGCTAAACCATTTACAGCATACGTTTCAAATAGTAAGTGCATAATTTAACCTCGGATATAGTTTAATCAAGTTGTTTTATTTATTTATTTATTTTTTGGTCCTTTTCATTTTTATTTTTGCAAAAATTAATATTTGTTTTCATTTAAAGTTATTCCTTGTAACATATGTGCAATATTATGATTCTCTTTTCATATCACGATAAAAAAATATTAAATTTTAGTGAATTAGTTAAATTATATATAAAACTATGGTCAACTAATAACAAACGGGTCGTGGTGTAGATGGTTATCATGTCAGTCTAACACACTGAAGGTATAATTAGAATGCTGTATTAAATTTAAGATATCTATATTTTTCACTATAAATACCCGACTATTCCACCAAGTTTGTATTCAAGAAAAGTAAAGTGTAATAGCTTGTTCTAATCTCTTTTTAATTAGTCTTAATCAATAATCAAATTTGTTTCTCACAAAAGAGCTCAATAGTGCGTGGAGCGAAAGTAATTGATAGTACTCTCAATTAAAAGGTCAAAAGTTTGAATCTTCTACTTTTAAAAGGTTGAAATTAAATAAAATAAAGTTAAAAAATAAATAAATTTCATTTATTAGTAATTTAGTTCATCAATTAATACAAAATCTCAAATAAATTAATTAAAAAATTAAAAAGGAAAAAAAGATCCCAAAATAAAGAATAGTATTTAATAATTAGATATTTATATGAATTATTTAAATCTCGATATAATATAAATGTAATAAAATACTTAATTATAAAGGAACAAAATGGTGTCGTGGTGTAGTTGGTTATCACGTCAGTCTAACACACTGAAGGTCTCCGGTTCGAACCCGGGCGACGCCACTTTTTAATACTTTTCTAATTATTATTGATTGTAGTAATTTAGTAAAAATTCAACTGCTACCAAAACGGTGTCGTGGTGTAGTTGGTTATCACGTCAGTCTAACACACTGAAGGTCTCCGGTTCGAACCCGGGCGACGCCACTTTTTAATCCTTTTCTAATTATTATTAATTCTAGTAATTTAATGAAATCCTCGTGGAGTTTGTTACATGTCAGTCTCCGTTTGATCTTGGGCTATGCCATTTTTCATAATTCCTTTTTATTTTTATTTATTTATTAAAATTTAAAAAACAGCTGAAATTGCGGAGGAAAGTGGGGCCCAGAGATTTGAAGAAACTTCGAGATGCCGTTAAATCCTCCGCTTCCCAAAGGAAGCGAAATAAAACGGAACGCCCCCATCGTCCATCGCATATTCCAACACCGCCGACCAATAAGATCTCTCCATCTCATCACTTCCTCAATCCCTATTGGTCAACTTCATCCACGTCATCGTTCTCTTTAAAGAAACTCCGTTTTGCCTTCCTATTTAACCCCATATTCTTCCGATTTCTTTCAATTCTTCCATTCGTTCTAGAATTTTCCCCCGAAGATTTTCTGTGGGCCGTTTTCCATCCAAATCGATTCATCGCCAGGAAGAGGGAAACCAGAGATTTTCATCTTCGTTTCGTTTCGTTTTGATTTTGTTGTTTTTTTATTGCATTATGGCTCTTCACGGGCTGCGCTGCCTTTTCCTCGGAACTCTTTTTGTTCTTCTTGCTCTTCATGCTTCCGCTGGATCTCCCCCTTCTGTGAGTAATTCTTCTCGTTTTCGTTTGCTTGTTTGATACTTATTTTTCCGCTTTTGGAGGTTTTGATGGACCTGTTCATTTCATGATTGTGATTCTATTCAAATTATTATTCGTTGTTGTCTGAGGATTTGATGTTGGATTGTGGTTTCCTGTTTTATATTCTTTGGTCATTTCATTTTTAATTTGCGAGTTTTGGGGATTTTTGTGGCTTTCTGCTTTTCCTTGTGGTGTTTCATTGTTTCTCTGACCAACCCATGGAATTTTATTCTTGTTTTGGTTTTGACGGATTTGATCATGCTTTCCCCTGTTTGTTTATATTTCTGTGCAATTTGGTAATTATTTAATGCTTAATTTCTGGATAGTTAGGGTTTTGATGGTTTTCTGTTCGTATTGTGGCGTTTTATTGTTTCTCTAACCAGCCGATTGATTTTTTAATTAGTAACGATAATGGTTATTCATTGGATTTTGCAAAATTCTGATTATTTGATGTTTAATGTGTGGATTTTGATGGATTTATTGTTTCTTTGAACAGTCGATTGTAGATGGGTTTACGAAGGATGTGAAGGAGATGATTGGGAAGGGATTAGGGCTTGTGGCTGACGATTTGAAGATCACGGGATTCGATCTCAAAGATGCCAAGGTTGGGCATTCGGTTGCGTACGAGTTCGAGTTGGAGATCGGTAACCAAGTTTTTCCATTGAAGTTTCTGGAAAATGCCCAACATTGGGAATACGTTGATTTGCCCATTTTTCAAATTCAAGAGCAGCCTCGAGCTCAACAAGGGGACGAGAATTTGTTGGTCCAGAAACGTAATACTGCCTCTGATTTGCCTGTCTTGGCTCCCTTTCAGCTCGCTGGACCGATGGAGCTCTGGATTCAGGATGCTGATGGCTTGAGGGTCTCGTTGCCTGTGAGTTTCTTATCTGCTTTGAATTGGGTTCTATTTATGTTCAAACTTTCTATTGCCTTGATGATGTTCTGGGATCTTCTATTGCCATGGAGTCTTGCCGTAATCTGTACTTTTGAGAATTTTCGTGATCACCCATTCGATTAGGTGGTTTATTGCCATATTTGGGTCTTTTATCATGATTCCTACACTAGTGAACCTTCAATTTTGCATAAAAAAGACCCATTTTTGTTCTTAATTTGATAACAGACATAGGTCGTCTTTTGTTCATTTGCTTGATCAATAGACATTGATATGGATTGAATAGACATTGTTCTTGAAGTCACCATTCAAAGTTGAGATATAATAAAATGATTGAATTGTTATAACCATCAAGAACATGAACTGGAACTTAGAATGCGGACGTATATGATTGTTAGGTTTATGGCATATTCTTGTCACTGTGCATATGAGCAAGCATGAAAAGCATTATTCTGAACTTTGATCGTTTGCCATTGAATTTGCAGCATGATGTGGATGCTGGTGTCTTGAAGAAGGTTGTTTTAGCAGATGGAGCAGTTGTCACTGTAACTGGGGCTAGGTCTGTTAGCCTGCGCCATTCGCTCAATCTTCCTCTCCCGCTCAATCGAACACAACCCGGTTTTGCATCGGGGCTTGTAGCTTTGGCTGAACAGCTCCACCACATTTCCCGATCTCAATCTGCCCCCATCCTTTCTCTTCGTATAGTCGGTCCTACCTCCCTCACTTCTTCTCCTAGCTTCAGCAACAAGCTCAAGCTCAAACGCCTTGCCCCTGGTCTAGTGGAACTCTCATCCCCTTCCAAAAAAAACATCCAAGCCATTCAGTCTCCTTCCCCTGTCCAGCTTCAAGCTGGAGCCCCTACCATGCTAACACCAAAGACATTCACAACGCTATGGCCAATTGCCTCCATCAATGGATCGAACTCGAAATTACTTGGCTTTGAAACACTTCTCACGTCCCTTCTCGGCTCCAAGGCAGACAAAAAGGGCTCCTTCAAGCTGCTGAAGGCCGACATTTCCGCCCAAACAACCGTGAAGATTGGGTTTGGTGTCGACAAGAAGTTGAAAGAAGGAGATGGGATCAACTTGGAGGGATTTCCAGAATGGAGGACTAAGCCTGAGGTTGTGAGGATGCATTTCGAGGTCCTGGCGAAGGTCGACGGTGAACGGATCATACCAGAGAGGGTGGTGCCAGTTAATCCAGTCGTTATCGAGGATACGGTGGCTCCTCATTTGCAACTGGGCAATGTGACTGTGTCGAAAACTCCAGTTGTTTACACCCCAGCTGATCCATTCACCATTTAAGGTGGAATCTGAAGGTTTGTTTTGAACACAGTGTCTTCGGGTGGAAAGTGTAGAAAGGATACAGATTGAGTGTGAGTGGTGAGCATAGAGAAGGTCATAAATACTGTACAAATTATTGAAGGTCATAACTTTAATACTTTCTGCTAGTTTCATTGAGCTATGTAAAGCTTTTAACCCCATGCATTGCATGGTTCTCCTTAATCCATTCATCCTATTTATATCATAAAAGATTTGAATCCCTAGTCAAGATAGAGCTCTTCACATAAGTTGATTATCCCTAAGAGTTTGGATCAAGAATTTTAATTTAGGAGATTAAAATTGTTGGCTAAAAAATATTTATTGATATTGGCAGGAAGAGAATTTCAACATGACGATGACAGTTTGAAATAATAAAATGATTATGATATGAATATTGAAAGTCTTGAATTTTTATAGTGGTATGAATTTACGAGCAACATTTCGGGTGAATCTAATCCTTGACTTAAATTATTCTTTCTATTGAGTTTTTAGAGTTTTTGTTCAGCAAATTTTTCGAACACTACAATACACATTTTTGGTCTAACTGTTGAACATTCTCAAATTTAATTCGAAGACAAGAGTTAGGAAATTATAAGAACACAAGTTTGACATTTTAATAAAAATAAAAGAATTAAATAAAGTCCAAAGGGTAGGCATAATCCAACAAAGTCCGACCCCCAAGGGTATTATCCTATGTTTCAAATTCTTACAACTCTCACACACACTCTTTCTTAGAGATGGGCTATGTCTAAACCTAAGTTCTAACATACAATTAATTCAATGATTTAATTGAACAAACCCAAAGCAATCCACAATCCAATGCACTAACCTGATAACTCCAGTGAGGATAATCACGATCACCTAACCCAATTTTCGCGAGCAGCTCCTCGGTACATGACTGCTACGAACATTTGGCTCCTTTAGAATAGTTGCAGCTCTTGTTTTTCGAGATAATAATGTGTCTGTTTCTTTAGCGTCTTTGTGACTCAATGTGTTCCTATTGCTTTCCTTCCTTGCAATGAGTAAGCCGGATGGTACTACTAGAGAAGCCATTTCCCTTTGGAGAAAAGTTTCACATTTAAGAACACTATAGCTATGATTTAAGGTTCAAATGTATAATATATGTTACTTACCTACGAGGCGGCTTCCTAACATTTTGCTGTATCTTTTCTAGTTTGCTTCTTTTCAGATTATCATCTGGCTTGGTTGATCTCTCTTTAGCAGGTTTGAGCTGACGGCAAAGGCTCTGTTTCTGTTGTTGTTTTAAAGCAACGCAAGTTTGTGAATCTACTTTTTTGTTGTTGTTTGAGGAATCTGGTACTGTTCTTCCCTATTAATATCGCAGATGTTAGCTAGATCTTTGGATGAAAACAAACAAACAAACAAACAAACAAACCAGTTCTTCTTTAATACCATACCAACTTACTTGTTGATCATCTGGGGTTTTGTTCTGAAACACCCCTTGTTCATATTCAACATGATCATCGCATCCAGAATTCTAGCAAAAAGAATGAAAATATATTTATATATTTGGACCCATCCGAGCAGGGGAGAGGGGGTTGAAGAACATTTGATTGAAGAAAGCTCACTTGGTGAACCGTGGATTGAGTTTTTCTCTGTAACTTGTCCCCATGAAACCTTCGAGATGCAGTGATGTCTTTCAACGGGCAATTAAGCTTTTTCCCCAAGTTTGCTTCCCTTAGTACAACTCTTTCCTAAACCCACCAACCAAATGATATCAGATTAGCAATGTGAAGAGATATGATAAGCCAATAATCTTGGTGGTGAATGAGAGAGATCACACACATCAGTTCTTAGCCTGAATGGCTTCGGATTCGTGGACTTTGGTTTGCTGGGTTTCAGCCCATGAGAACCAAGTGCAGCAGGGGTGGTGTTCTCCTTTAGAGTCTTCTTCTTCAATACTCCATTGACCTGCATCATTTTATCTATCATTATAGCAAGCAGAAATCGAGATGGATGAAGTAACAATATCATAGTAAAAAGGCCAAGAAATTAAATTACCTTTGATGTATTTTTAAATTTCTCAAGTTTTCCAAATGGCACTCTTTCAGACTGGTTGTAAGAATTGTTTACCCTGCAAGGTTTCCTTCAACAAATCAATAATCTGAACAAGATATTCATTCTGTTCTTGTGAAAAATTAGATCGATCCATTACCTGTTGTGTTTAGGTGCGGTATTTTCATCTGTGATGGTTTCACTTTCATGCACTATATCATCATCAGAGGACACTGCATTTTCTTTATCATCAATCTCGTGTTCTGAGATATTTATCTGTATTTCCCCTGATTTCGTTCTCTCCTCATGATTGGATTTTTGATTCTTCTCATCCTCCACTTGGCATAGAACTAATTTGAAATCACTTGCTTCTGAATTTGATATTGAAGTCTCATCATCTTTAAAGTTTTTGGACCCATTATCTGTGCTCTCGTCCAGGGGCTCCTCAATTTGCAAAACCTTTTCATCTTGAATACCTTCATCAATTTCAGCTACATTTTCTTTATCACCACTCTCCAATGCATCTATTTTGGCTATCTCTTCATGATTGTTTTCGGAATTTGAAATTAAAGTTTCATTAGAGTCTTTGGACAGATTATCCGAATCTTCAGATATTGGAAGTTCATCTTGATTTCCTTCAGTACTCGTAGCAGAACTCGGCAGATCAGATCCTTGCATGGAAACATGCCTTGATTTATCATCAATATCCATGTCACTGGCATCCTCATCAACAATATCTTGGCCCATGTGATCAGGAAGAGGCGGCTTTAAGTTCTTTTCTTTGCTTCTCCTCTTCAAAACTCTTGCAGATTTGGCATCCCGACGTTTGCAACTGTAAGTTCCTAATGAATCAAAAACTCGGCTCTTTACCTCACGTCCTCTGAACTTTCTTCTTGGAGGATCCAGAGGCAACGGCTGTCCATCCCCTAATCGGTTCTTCTTCGAGCTAGTAATCTCAAGTTTCTTCATTGCTGCACATAAAGTTTTCACAGGGGTACTCATTTCTATTGAATTTTTCTTTTTCGTATCTTTCTTTGGAGATTGAAAGATCAAAGCCTTAGCTACCGTTGTAGTCTTCGGCATTTCAGCTGATGTAGTCTTAGGATTTTTAACACTCAGAAACCCATTGGAATTTGATTTAAGCTTCTTGTTTCTTGGAGTGGTCATGGCCTTGGCATGAACTTGTCTTGCCTTTGCATTCAGTGTCGTACTAGGCTTGGGAATAGGCGGTCTAGATTTCACTCTTGCCTCCACTATCCTATTAGAGATGGAAGATATAAGAGCTAGTCTGGCCACTCTAGATTTTGAAGACTTGGGAGGAGCTGTAAGTGGGCACTTCAGATTCCTAATAGTTACACAAAATGATGCTCAAAATTATCATTCATGGGAGAACATAGGGAAAGAAAAATGGAGAATAGAAAGAAGAAGAAGAAGAAGAAGAGAATTTTTGGATTTAGACCTTCGAGCTCTCTGAAGCCGAACATTCGGACTCCTCGCCGCCATTACCTGTTTGATTCAACACTTTTTACATGAAAATGAAACAACAAATTAGAAAATCCGCTTACAGAGAAGCTTAATCAACAGCAACATACCCGCATAACAAAGTTTTTGTAAATAACTTCAGAGTCCATTTCTTCTGGATGCTTCTCTTCACAACCTACAGTTTAGTAAGAATGAAATAATCTGTTTCTGTAAGAATTGAACGAATATGTTTCCACTTTGAGCTCTTGGGAACAACACATTAAATTATGTGCTCTAAATCAACCACACTAGATTCAAGTCAACAAATTACAGTATAAATAACGCAAACAACAAAAAGGATTTAAAACAAATGAACCATTGTATATGCAAATAAACGAATAATTTGAATGAATTAAAGAACTTCATCTACCAGCTACTCCAATTGAAAATAATTCAAAATTCAAATACATAGTTCTCAGTAGCATCGCAACAGAGTATAGTAATCAACGCCTGCTCTTCTCCATTTCCTAATTTCCACAGCAGAAGTAGTTCTCAAGCCAAAAGCCAAAAAACTCACACAAAATTGAACATCACAGAGAACAGTAACCTAATTCGCAGGATGAACACAAACTGAGGATTAGGCCTACAATTCTCCGAGAGTTCAATTCCATTTCCAACAGACTGAAGAAAAAAGGACTTCAAGCCCTAACTAACACTGAAACAAAATCAGAGCAAAAGAGAAGAAACAAACCGACTCGGGAGCAGAACCAGTAGCGATCATCGGGAATGTAGTGATCGGAAACGGTGAAGTCGACGAACTTAGGCGCTTCGATCATCTCGTAGAAATCTTCGCCTGGATTGTCAGTAGTAGACTTCACAGCTTGAATCTCCTCCATCATCACTGTAACTCAGCAAGATCTAGAGAGAGAATGAGCGAGGAAAGGTTAACGGATGAGAGTAGTGATCAGAATTCAAGTTGTAGAGAGAGAGAGAGGGATGGCGAGGTAACCGAGGACAAATTTTAAATTGTCGCATTTCTGCAAGTAGCCGTTGGAGAAAGGTTTCGAATTCGGACAGGCCGTGAGGGCATTTTCGGGATTTCGCAAATCTTTTTAGGTCCGAATCCGAACCCGAATCCTATGGACCCGGACCAATGTAATTTTCCCGACAAAAAAAAAAAAACAAAATTCGGCCAAATTATTTTGTGGACCCCACCCAAAATATTTATATTTAGTCTAATTTAACTAATTAAGATATTATATTCTTAACTTCAAAATTAAACGTTTAAATCTTAGGTGTTGTTAACTAATTCTAGCCCTAATATCAACCGTTCCTAAAGATATGAGACGTTTGGTAATTTACTGTGATACTTCAAATAAAAGGATCAGGTCGCATACTGTTGCAATACAAGAAGGCGATTGCTTATGTTTCATGTCAAATAAAAAATCACGAGCTTAATTATATATACGTGTCAACTAAAAAATTCTCACCTGAATATAGTTAAATAGAATAAGACGGGTATAAGTTTTCATAAATTTGAATATAAACTTTGATGAACGTTTTAAAAAAATAATAAATAAATTTAATATTTAGCTTTTAAAGATTGGAATAAAGTTTCTAAGGTTACCACTTTTATCTTTAATAAGTTATATTTTTCCTTTTAAATTTTTGGAAGATTCATTTGAGATTGTAAATTAGTGACGTGTACTAATAGATTAACGAGATTTTCATCGTCCCTATCTACCATCAAGTGAAATCGTATAAAGAAGATCATGTTGAGCTTCACTATATTTTGATTTTGTGAAATGACAGAGGTATAAAATAAGTGGACGCCAAGAGGTGAAAGTGAAGTACCATTACTTTTAACATTTTTTACTTCATCTTTGTTAATATTTGTCAATTTTAACAAATACTAAGTTTTGTTAGATGAACACGATTCTCCACAATAGTATGATATTGTCCACTTTGAGCCTAAACTCTCATGACTTTGCTTTGAACTCTCCCTGAAATAGTATTATTTGATTATAAACTCATGATCATTCCCTAGATTAACCCGTGAAACTTTCCTCCAACAAGTTTTAAATAGAGTTTTTCAAACTATATATTGAAATTTAGTTGCAAATATATATTCAAGATTTGAAAAATAATAAATATATACTTTACTTATTAATATTTTAATTTTATTAAAATTTTTTTGAATAAACTCAACTAGATTGAGTTTATTATTTAATAAGAGTTACTTATAATTTACTATCCGAATAATTGAGTTAATGTTGAAGATTGTTGGAGTCTCACATTAACTAATTAAGAGAAATATCACAAGTATATAAGTAAGTGACACTATATTTTGACACGAGACTTTTTAGGAAAACCAAAAAACAAAGTCATAAGAGTTTATGTTCAAAGTGTACAATATCATACTATTGTGAAGGGCCGTTGTTCCTATGAAATTGTATCAGAGTCATGCCCTAACTTAAAATCATCAAGTGTCAGAAGGTATAATCATAGTGAAAATCCGTGATTAAACTCTAGCAATATGCTCCAAAGAAAGGCGTCGTCAAGGGATGCTCAATGTCGACAAATATCATACCATTGTGAATGAGTTATTGTTCCTGTCAGTTGAGTCTAAAAAAAATATCTGAAATTCAACTCAACCCAACCCAGCTCAGCTCATGAACATTCTTGACCTTTGGTTTGGAGAGATATAACCAAATCACGACTAGAAAAAACTTCTAAAAACCGCATAAACTAAATTAGAACTGAGTTGAATCGAGCTCATACACTAATTTAACCCTCAAAAGCTTCTAAAATTTGAGTGAGTGTCTTTTCATCTCTTAAACATCTAAAATACTCATTCTCTGGTTGTATAATAAAAACATAAACTTCTCTCCTCAACCCTCAAAAGCTTCGCTTTACCATTTTGTGGGTTCCAACATCTATTAAGAGCCTCAACACATTCAACAAATATTTTCTATGTAGGTATATAATTTAGAACATACCATTCATTCTTTGACTAACAACTATCATGAGTCCTCTGTTTGATGATCAGTCTCATCAAATATCTCCTCCTGTCAAAAACAAACATTGATACTAAAAAACCATCCCGTGTTGAAAACAAACGAATAATTATGTCATGTGCAGCATGAACAGATACTACCTGTAATAGTTCTTCAATGACATCTTCCATTGTTATAACACCCACAGCTTCTTCTTCCTCAACAAGCTTAGGGAGAGGGTTTTCATCTATTTTTAGGATATCAGTGTACATATCTTTTGTCCATTTCTTGCTTCTAGAACCACCACTCCTGAATGAACTATTTGCGGGGAAGCTTTTACACTTCTTAAATGATGTCTTAATCTTCATGGTTTTTTCTTGTGAAGGTGAAGGCCTTTCACCATCCACATCAATTCTAACTTCTTTCTGGGGATCTACTTTGATTGAGCAGTTCAATTAATATAATGCTACCAAAACCAGAATCTGAATATCTAAACAGAGTAATAACATGTGTATAATGAACATAGAGGAACGTACCGTTGCCCAGTTGTTCATCGTGTTTTCCATTCATTTTGTTGCATTGTTTAACAACAATGGCCATGTGGCTATGACCTTTCTGGAACTCATTCAGAATGTCATATAATGGCAAAGTTTCTGGAACTCTATGAAATTGTCTATATCAGAATGATACTGGAATTTGAACTATCAAATTTAAAAGAACTATATCCTTTCTGCCACCAATGTACCTTGGAATCCTTCGAATGGTAACGTTCTTTACTAGAATTTCATCATCTGGGTGGATTGTAAGCAAATTTTTAACCTGATATAGAAAGCCAAAGGTGTTAAGAAAAAGGAGAAATAACCTTTTTGCAATGGAAGATACATGCATTCTGTAACAGCTCAAGCGCACCGCTAACAAATATTGTTCTCTTTGGGCATTCCCTTTCGGGCTTCCCCTCTAGGTTGTTAAAATGCATCTGCTAGGGAGAAGTTTCCACACCCTTATAAAGAATGCTTCGTTCTCCTCCCCAATCGATGCAGGATCTCACAATCTACCCCCTTGGGGCCTAGCATCCTTGTTGGCACTCATTCTTTTCTCCAATCGATGTGGGACCCCTAATCCACCCCCTTCGGGGCTCAGCGTCCTTGCTGGCACGCCACCTCGTGTCCACCTTCTTCAGGGTTCAGCCTCCTCACTGGCATATCATCTAGTGTCTGGCTCTGATACCATTTGTAACATCAGTTAGATTGTGAGATCACACATCGGTTGAGGAGGAAAAATTGAAACATTCTTTATCAGGGTGTGGAAATTTCTCCCTAGCAGACACGTTTTAAAAACCTTGAGGGGAAACCTGAAAGGGAAAGCCTAAAGAAGACAATATATATTAGCGGTGGGCTTGGATTATTATACGTTGTGTTGGAAAAGTTGGAGATTACAGATCACACGTGAATGACATAAATAGAAATATGCAAAAGAATGTGCTGTTCATATTGAAAAATGGGAGTGAAGCCTCCAGTTTTGCATCCAATTACTCCATATCCAAATAAAGTACAAATGACAAGATGACAACCAACATTAGTAGAATGCTCGAGAAGAGGCCTCTAAATCAAGAAAAGGTCATAAAATTCATTGTATAGAGGGTTGTTTGATGCGATAAGTGAGCAGAGATGATTAACAAGTTTACCAGGATAAGACCAATTATGTTGGTTTGTTCTTCATAATAAACTGGCACCCTGCTATGCCCTTTCGCCAAAACGAGATTCATCAAATTCCTGTGCAAGCATCACAAATATATCAGTAGCTATGAATTGGAAGCAGTGAATTATGAAGGTGCATATTTATAGTCTTATTCTCAACATGCATATGACCTATCGAGCTTTGCATTAATGTCAATTACAAAAGTTTCAGATATAGGAGTCATGGCATCACTAGCAGTTTTCTCAGTAAGTTCAAGTGCTCCAGCAATGATAGTGGTTTCATCATGTGTCAGCTCTCCACCCTTTCCAGCCTGTTACAGGTTAATCTCGGACATTAATGGTAGAATATGGAAGCAGAAAAGAGAAGCAAAGGTCTGCTTAAAAATTAAAAACAACAAATATTTGTTAATGTTAAGCATGTCACAAGTCTACCAAAAATTTAAAATAAACATAACCCCACACAAAATATAAACTTATATACCTCATTACCGTGCAAATTCACAAGTGCTTTGAGCTCAGCTCTACGGAAAAGGGCCACATGTCCATAGCCCAGTAGAAAGTCTAGTAACTGAAAATCACGTTTAACATAAATATTTTAGGAACCATTTGGAACAATAATGTAGCAAACTTTAGTAACCCAAGTCCTCAATGTCTACCTTGCTGATTGGATATGCAATAGGGAAGCAAATCCAGACAAGAACACGAACAAAAGGAGCAACTGTTGATCCAATTGCCAAACCATACCGAGAGCAAACAGATTGTGGTATAATCTGTACATCAAAGTAAATAGATTTCATCAAATTTACCCCTTAGCTTTGGTACCAACTGAAAAATGTGAACTGAGGTATCAGAAAAATGTGAACTGAGGTATCAATATCGTTACAGCCAAAAATTGTGCAGAACACAGCTTTGGTGTAACAACCCCAGCTCACCGCTAATAGATATTATCTTCTTTGGGTTTTTCCTTTCGGGCTTCTCCTCAAGGTTTTTAAAATGCGTATGTTAGGGAGAGGTTTCCACACTCTTATAAATAATGTTTTGTTCTCCTCCTCAACCGATGTGGGATTTCACAATCCACCCCCTTCGGAGACCAGCATCCTCGCTGGTATTCGTTCCTCACTTCAATTGATGTGGGATCACACAATCCACCCCCTTCGAATTGGAGAGGGGGGACGAGTGTCAGCGAGGATGCTAGGCTCCGATTGTGAGATCCCACATCGGCGCTGGGAAGAAGAAAGAAACATTTTTTATAAGGGTGTGGAAACCTCTCTCTAGTAGACGCATTTTAAAAACCTTGAAAGGAAACTCAAAAGAAGAAGTCCAAAAATGACAATATATGTTAGCAATGGGTTTGGGCGGTTAAATCTAGCTATACATTATGCTTCAATGAAAAAGTTGCAGATCCATAATGCAATCCTTGAGTGACCTAGCTAATATTTAATGAAATAACAAAATGAACAAATATTCCAAACTTGCATAAAAGCCCATATCTTAGATAATTCCTCTGACCTCGCCAAATAGAAGAATCAATGTCACCGAGATTAAAACAGCACCCCAAGCTGTAACTAGACTGTCGAGGAAAATAGGAAGTGCCTGCAAGAACAGTTATATTTACTCTGTGTGGTCAACCTTCTACACACTAATTCGCCACACTTCAATAAAATGTACCTCCATGGCTGCTGCATTGCAAATCAGTAGGGTGCACAGCAATAAATGCTGGTTTTTTACTACTGGCATTATCTTTGCTGTACAAAAGCAAGTGAATTATTATGAAGAGACTTTAATCACAACACAGAGACTCTGATTGAAGTTTAAAAAGAAAACCGTTGCAAACAGGTATAAGATACATTCCTCTGAACCTTAAGTCAGATGAATTAGATTTCTAAAAATGATAAATTATCATATTTTTATTATCAAATGCATGATTTTTCAAGTGTCATTAGAAAAAAAAAAAAAAAGAAAAAAAAAAAAGAAAGAAAGACACATGCTCATGTTTTTTAATCTTCAAATAACATAATTTAACCAGATTAGTAAGAACTTTAAAGAATTAGGGAACATCCATTCCAATGTTTAAGTCAACCAAGCAAGCCTCTTGTTGCAGATTCTGAAGTTCATTAATGACAATTATATTTCTTAAATAAGATTACTGGTCAAACACCAAAATATTAATGGAGAAACTCCCCTAGACCTTAATTTTCAATAATGTCAACAAAAGTTGAAGAAGCAAACTATCTCTAAGATCGAATGCGAGATTTCTCATCAAAGAAAATACGCGACATAATTTAACATGCTCCATTGTGAAAGTTTTCTATGGTAACACAATCCTCCAGCCATTTTAGAGCTATTAGATCAACATCTCGAGTACCTCCCATTACGTGTCATAGGTTCTAATCCCTCCCTTCCCCTCATCTATGAAGTGTAATTGTCCAGTAAGACAAAACACAACATAACAAAAAAATTTAGCCAGATAGAATAATAAGAAAAGAACTTCAAGAAACAAAAAGAAGAAACTCCCTTGCACCTTAGGGTCTAAAGGATCTTCCAAAGTCATCCCAAACTAGTGGGTAACTTTTCAGCTACAGTTTGACACTGTTACATTTTGACCATTGATACATCCTTATAGAGGACTAAAAGCTAGTAGAAAGTACATTGAAAAAGGCGTCGTATTGATCCTTTTTTTGACCCACCCAATTTGGGGGAAGGAATAAATGAAGAAATGGAGATAAAATAAATGAAGAATCAAAACAGAAGAATATAATTTATCAGATTTCTTCCCACCCGACACCCGGTTAGAAATCACGACTCTCCACAATGGTATAACATTAATTGTATAATATTATCCACTTTAAGCCTAAATTTTCATGGTTTTACTTTGGCTTCCCCTAAAGGGTTCATACTCATAGAGATATACTTCTTACTTATAAACTCATGATAAGTATATCATATAACCTCCTTTGAAGGCTATGGAGTCGTCGAACAGCAAGCCCAGCATAACACATCAAGAAGCAGATGGGAACAATCTTTTAATCCTTATCCAATTACATGTCAGTTCTCTTTCCTCAATTAGATGCTCCCCAAAAACAGATTCAACATATTCCATCAACGGTGAATCTCAAGGTTTTCTTCCCCTCATATTTCCAAGTCAAAAAAGAAAAACAGGGGATGCCTCAAATCAACATTAGACACGATGAAAACAAATTGGCTGTAGATAACAATAAAATATACCCAATCAAAAAGAAAAGGGGGGAAAAAGAGGAATAACAGACAACATAACAATTAGTACTATGAACTAGTCGCCAAAAGAAAAAAAAAATCGAATAGGTACAGTAAACGGCCCCACACAACAAACTCGTTCATCCAATTCCACCTCACATTTCCGGAGTGGGAAAGCGGATCAACTAACTATAAAAAGAAAGAGAAGTTTTACCGGCGTACCTGCGATCCTTGGGGGTACCGGACTTGGCAAGAACTTCGAGATCGACGATGCTCATGGACATAAGGCCAAGTGTGAGGCCGGACATCATGCCGGCAAAAATGACCAAGAAGGCGATGATGAGTATATGGATGAAGAAATTAGTGCTGCAGCATTCGTATTCAACAGCCATTGAATTGACAGGAAAGGGCGTTTGACGGCGAGTTCAGCTTCAGAGGCCGGCGTTGAGTTGAAGGCGACGGAGAAGGTCCATTAACGAAACAGTTGCAGAGAATATACGTTTGTTTGGGGAAGAGAGAGAGGAGAGACAAAGTGAACGTGTACAGTAGAGAGAGAGAGGGATGGAGGAAGAAGATGATGATAGCCGATGGATAGGGGACGTGAGCGAAGCGAAGGATACGGAAGACGCTATTTCCGGTGATATTAATAGGGACCTAACTGCAATAATCACAAATTTCAACATTAGTTATTTTTTGCTAAATTAATAATAATAATAATAATAATATATATATATATATATATTTCCTTATGTTTCATAAATAAATATATAATTATTAATTATTAATTATTAATTATATATTTATTATTTGAATGATAATTTTTTTCAACCTGACCAAAACATATATTTTTTGGATTGGGTTGAGTTGGGTGGTTCTAGATTATTTATTTAAATTTTTATTTTTAATAAAAATAAATGTTAATTCGTCGTTCATTTTCAAAATTTTAATTAAAATTCAAAACTCAATTTTAATATATATTTTGAAAAATTGTTTTCTAAAATTAGAAAAAAAAAATTAATATTTTAAAATTAATGATAAATTCGAGTTAATTCAATTTAACCCAACTTGAGTTCTAAGATAATTCATGAACCAATCAAATTCATAAAATTTCTATTATTTGAACTCAAACTAACGCGTTCATTACTCACCCTACACTACATAAATTAAGTTGAGTTGATCGAGTTTTTCCAGTCATTAAATGTAAATTCTACTATGGCTCAACAAATCAATTCTTCGGGTACTATGCCAACGTGTTGATTTATACTTGAGTCAGCGCATTGGCTAACTATTACCATTGTCTAACACTCTCATTTCATACCACAATTTTTTAATATTCACATTCATTTCACACCCAGTTGTCGATAGCGTAAAATTCTCGCACTGTAATGTAATAAGAAGAAACACGTTACTGGTTGAGTTTGTTTAGGTTTTTTTAAAAATTATTATTATTAAAAGTAATTTTAGAGGTAAATTTTAAATAAAATTAATTGTGTCATTATTTTCAAACATGGGATAAAAATAAAATAAAATAAACATTATCTTCCAAAATTGTTTTAATCCATAAAGTTTAGGCAAAGTATGGATTAGTTGTAATTTTCCAATTTTGGGAAATTCATGGATAATATATTCTCCTTTTCTACTATTGTATTTTAAAGCAATCCACGTGGTAGGGTGTGTAATTACCAATTTCTCCCTCATGATTGATCTATCTAGTCACAAGCCACAAATCACAAAATGCTTTCTGTATGTATATATAAATAAAGTCTTTGTAATTTCGTAGATTAAAAATTAGTTTTTATTAAAATTGGATAAATAATAATAATAATAAATTTTATGGTAAACAACTTTTGAGAAAAGTTAATAAAAAAAAAAATTAAATTATTCGAAAAATGAGAAGCTATGATATCATGTTAAGAATAAGATGGTCTGATTGATACCATATTAAGAACGAGAAATTAAAGATGCTTATAACGTAGTCTTGATATTGGATGATCGATAACAGTTTGCCACTCACAATTCTCGAGGTAAAATGATTGAGAATATTTGTAGCCAATTCAAGATATTAGGAAGCTACCGACCGAGTGTGGATACCATCTTAAAGTTTTTGGTTGAAGGGGAATACTGGAATATGTTTTATATAGCGTAATTAGTTAAGATTTTATATTTGATATATTTTATTTTATTTAAAGAAATACTCCGTGAGTGACCCCACTATTGGGGTTATGCAACAATAACATGCAAAATACTATAACGGGACCTATCATATCAGTTTATTTTTCATACTGCACTATTCTAATGGATAGCTTGGATGTGTACCATATACTCTACACACAACCGATACGTGCGGGTATGGGCTCACCAGACAGTTCGCACACCGCTGGGCCCCTTTTCTTGTCGGACGAGCCTTCTCTAGTAGCTCTACTGCTGCCGACACCCATTAGAATTAGTAACTGTCAAGGAAGCATTATGTAAAACATAATGATACTTTGCCTGTCTCGTGGATGTATGCGTCCGTACCCTTGTGATGGAATAGGGGTATCCCCCAACGCATGAGCACATATAATGCATGAGGTCCCAACATTTTTTCATTTTCATTATCATTTAATACTACACTAGTGTTTTGTACCTATCATATCATTTCACATATCATTCATCATTCATATCATATCGTTTCTCTTTTTTCAATTTTCATATCATACATAATTCTATCATGCCATTCATATCAGGTTGTATATACACAATTTAGGAGACATAACATAACGTCTCATGCTTTTAACATAACATTTCATCATATACATATCATACCAAACATATTGCATTACAGTATATCATAAACATGTCAATTTAACACATATCTCGTACTATAACATATTTCATATCATATGACAAAATATATATATATATATCATTCATATGTCGTATCATAATCATACTATCATAGGAACATACCTAACGCTATTGTTCTATCAATCTATTACAAACCTATCCCTTTCTACCTATAACCTACCCGTATTCTTTTATCAAACTCATATCCATAACACTTAGGTATGTAATCTAACCTTAACGTTTCACGTATCTTACTCCTATCGTTACATTTCGTTTTGTGCATCCTTCTCGTATCCTATCTCAAACATGTCATTGAGCACACAGTACCGTGATTATTATCGTACAATTCACATATTATAACACATACATAACATATCATAAGCATATCGATCCACAAACAATTCACACATATCAATATATATAACAAGTGCAGAACCACATGACACATGTCAACATCAAATATAACCATGCCGATAGTAAGGTCAATTACCTGGTTAGCTTAAGTCGTCATGAATATATTCTTAATGAAAGTTCGATTCCGTTCTTTGAAATCCAAATCAACATATGTGAGCCCATGATATCAGTTTCAAGTTTGAACTCAATAAAATTATTTCTCTAATTTATATTGGTCATTGTTAAAAGTCTAGAAGGGTTCTATATATATATATATAGAAATAATGCTATTTTCAACCCGACAAAATTTAATGCAATTCCTTGTCGAATATTTCTGGTTTTATTTTTGAATTCTGTTCAATAAATCTGTCTTCAATCTTCCTCCTTCCCTCTATGTAATTATTTTATGTAAATAGATTTTCAATTCTGTAAACATTTTTTGTAGACAGATATTACTGACAAATTTTAATTGATTGTTTCGCTACGATATCATAGATTTATAAATCTGCAAACTAAAATTTTATTGATTATAACATTATTTCCCGCTAACAAAAATCTAATTAATTGGATATGAGATAAAAAGTTATTTTAGCTGAAAAATTATTTTACTCTTTCTCACATTTTTGTTTATTTTTGGACAAAGTGTGAAATTGTGGGGTTTAAGAAAGAGGATGAGAGGTTATTGGAGAGAGGCCGGTATATTTTATTTTATTTATTTATTTTTATTTTTAAGTAATCTCTAGTTATTTATTTATGAATTATTATTATTATTTTGACGTATATATTTTTATAATTATTTTTATTTCTATTATTATTATTTTTGCTATTACACAACGAATTTAATTTTAAAAAGTATATACATATATTTAGTTTATATTTATTAAATTTAATAATTATTCTTTTATTATTTACTCCCTAATAACTTTTAAAAATAAATTTTAACTATTTAAATTGTATTTTTCATAATATATATTCGAAATGAGCTATATATCTTAAATAAAAAAATATTTGTGCCTAATAATGAAGAACATAAATGAAAATAAACCATTTTAAAAAAGAAAATTATGATTTAGTTGGGTTGGAATAGTTATTTAATAAAAGTTGTTTTAGCTGAAAAATTGATAATCTAAACAATTGAATGGGTCTAAAACAAATGTATTAACTCGACCCGACAAAAAACCTATATGACACAAATGCATATATAACCATCATGTAAATCACGCACAACAAAAAGCATACACATCTTGTAACGATCATTTTTTCTGAACCTAGACCGATGAAAATAGTTAGGAAGTTTCTAAGTGTAGAAAATTCTCAGTAAGTACTCTTAACGGGGCTAGATATGATAGTAAAATGTAACGTATATCTGAGAGACTGTAAGCTTTTTATTACCGGTCAACAAGTAGTACAATAGCAGTATCTCATCTTATAGTCCGACGGGTCGCCTGAGCGATTTCGATCACTTAGCAGGTCTTTGATTTGGTAGGTAACATTGCCAAAACGTATCATTTGATTTGACTACAAAGGAAGGCACTCGAAGTGAGACGACACCGTCTTGTGCAACGAGAATTGACCCTCTATCATCGAGCGAGGAAAGAGACCCCACTACGTAGTGATTCTATCAATCATGTACGGGGGCCCTTCAGTAAGTACTCTTAATGGGGCTAGATATGATAATAAAATGTAACGTATATCTGAGAGACCTAAAACTATATTAAAAAAACTGTTCATCTTAGCCTATAACCTTAATTGGACTCAAAGATCACGACTCTGTACAATGATATGGATATTATCCACTTTGAACATAAACTTTCATGCCTTTGCTTTAAGCTTCCCACAAAGGTCTCATACCAATAGAGATAGTATTTTTTTATTATAAAACTATGATTACGTGCGTCTTTCATCCAACATGATCTACGAAGATGAAAATGTTTTATTTATTTTGTAAAAGAAAAACTATGCAAAAACATAAATAAATTTATAAAATTTATAATATTTTCATTTTTGATAATAATGATAACAATTAAAAAAAAAAAAAAATACTTTGCTGTTGTTATTTTTCTTTTAAAAAATTGAATATTAAAAAATCTCCATAATGGAAATATTTTAATTTATTATTATTTTTTGTGTGACAATTAGTATTAAAAAATTCAAGATTTTCAGGGAGGGTCTCGAGGACAAACACAGGGCTCTGCCTTCTCCTCAGCTTTGAGACTGAAACCAGCGAAACTCAGATCCGAATCCATCTCCAAGATCTGAAACTCCACCCCATCTTTCCCTTCCATTACTGTAAGCTTCGATTCTCTCTATGTTCTTCTTCATTTCGCATTCTCATCCACTTTCACTGTTCCAATTTGCGTTCGTTTGATCTTGATTCTCTTCAATTTGCCGCCTTTATGATATCTTGTGTCTTTCTCTTGTAAGGCATTTGATTTCGTATGCTA